AACCTTAATTGCTTATGAGTCAACAGTTCTGGAGGGTCAACTGCTCAATGAAGCAGCAGAGAGTGACTCATGACTCATAGCTGTTCCCCAGTGTGGCATCAAGGAAAGACAATAATAGCTCAGGCCTCTGTGACTTAGCCCCCAAAGAGCCCAAGATGCTGAACAGCTTTTCAAGCGTTGTGACCGTGGAACCTTCTGTATCTCAGGTCCCCAAAGCCTTATACAAGCTGATAGACTCTGCCTGCTGGGACCCTGGTTTCTCCATAACCTCCCAGGATGCCTCTAAGAAATCAGCTTAGAAATCCCTGAGGATAATGATTCTATCCTCCTATTGGCACATTCTAGCTTTCCTATGTTAGACAGGTTTGATCAAGATTGAACTAATAAGTTTTTTAAAGACTTTAAAAATATATGAAGAAGAGAGCATTAAGATTGGAGGAAGACTCATTAACAATCTGCAATATGCATAAGACACAACCTTATTTGTTAAGTGAAGAGGCTCGAAACACTGATGAAGATCAGACCACATCCTTCAGTACATATAACAATTCCACATAAAGAAAGTGAAAATTCTTACAACTGGACCAATAAGTCACATGATAAATGGAGAAAAGACTGAAGTGGTCAAGGAGTTCATTTTATTTGGAAACACAATCAACACCAATGGAGGCTGCAGTCAAGAAATCAAAAGATGTATTGCACTGGGCAAATCTGCTGTAAAACTTTTTAATTATTAAAAAGTAAAGATGTCATTTTGAGGAATAAAGTATGCTGTGGTATTTTCAATAGTCTCATATGCATATAAAAGTTGGACAACGAATTAGGAAGACCAAAGAGAAAATGGATGCCCCTGAATTATGAGGTTGGAGAAAAATATCCACTATCCCACTGACTGCCAGAAGATGCAAAATCCTGTGTCGGAGGAAGAACAGCCAGAAGGCCCTTTAGAAGCGAGGATGGCAAGACTTGTACTTTGGACATGTTATCAGAAGGGACCAGTCCCTGGAGGACATGCTTGGTAAAGCGGGTCAGAGCAAAAGAGGAGGCCCTTAAACAAGGTGGACCGACGCAGTGACTCCATTCCAAGACTGGGCCATGCTCTTCTCCCTTTGTTGCACATGGGATCCCAATGAGTGGAACCAGGTCGGCTGCACCTTAGAACACTATCTGCAGATTCCTTAATTAGGGTCCTGTTTACCAAACTCACTGCCTTAATTTATTGTTCTCTACTATCTCAAGGCAAAAGAGCTTTGGTGGCATAGCATAGTGAGTTAAGTTTGGGGCTATTAACTGCAAAGTCAGCAAGCAGTTAAGCCCACCACCATCTCCTAGGGAGGAAGATGAGATTGTGTGCTCCTGTAAAGATTTACAGCGTCAGAAAGCTAAAGGGGCAGTTCTACGCTGTCCTATCAGGTTGCTGAGTTGAAACAAATTCTATGGCAATGAATTTTTCTAGTTTGTTTTGTTTTTTAAGTATTTATGAATTGCATACTTGGTAGCAGTCTACTTATTTTGGGCAAGTAACATTTCCTCACAAATCACTTCATGTAAACCTATATATCTGTATGGTGTTTTATAAATGCCCTTCTACACATTCTGTTTGATCTTTACAAAAGAAAGCAACAACAAAAATTCTGCTATTGAGTAGATTCTGACTTATGGAGACCCTATGTAGAGTTTTTGAGACTGTAAATCTTTATGAGAGCAGACAGCTTCATCTTTCTCTTGAGGAACAGCTGGTGGGTTTGAATTAACAACCTTGCAGGAAGCAGCCCAATACCTAACCCACAGCGCCACCAGAGCTTGGCACACAGCAGGTGCTAATCAGTGAAGTCATTGCTAATAACCCAACTATTAAGTGGTGGAGCTGAAGTTCATCCTTCTCCTGTTCACATGCTACGAGACAAGAGTCCAGCTTAGAAAGGCTCATTGAATGGCCCAAGGTCACACATGCCCACCAGTAGGTGGCAGCATGGCAGAGTTCCAGGATTGTTGTTCCCACTGCAATCTAGTTTGCTTCCAGTAGCCCTGGAAAGTTCCTGAAGAGTCCGGCTTACACACTGTTGGCTATATGTCTTATAAGCATAAATAATCGAGCATCCAGGACTTCAACCTGTCAATTGCTGCTGCCTGCAAAGAGCCACAAAGTTAAGTTTCTATTGCAAATGGTATGGACCGCTTTTGGGGGGTTTGCACTTAAACCAGGTCATTTATTCCCTTTGCTCTTGACCACTTTCGCGATAAGAACAATCTTTATGAGACTTGACTCTCAGAAGGCGATGAAAGATGCAGCCTTGAACTCTTGTTTAACCACCTTGGTCTGAAGAAGGCAGTGATTGAAGAGACTCCCCACTCCTTCCCTCACTATCTAGCATACAAGAAATGGCCTCAAAACGTTCTGGTCTAAATAAAATATCTAATAAAGGATAAAAAAATTAAAGAACCACTCTAAATCCCTGAAACAAGCTCCAAGGAAAAAAGGGTTAGATTCTGGAGGACAACCAAATTTGGACGAATAACCTGAGGAGGTGTGAAGGATGTTCAGAGGGCACTGAAAACCCTTGAGGAGATGTACAAATGAAGATTGTTGTTGGGTGCCAACCGCTGAGTCGGTTCTGACCCATGGCGACCCAACAGAACACAATGTGCGGTTCGAAGGATGCAAACCAAAAGGGCTTGCTTAGTAAAAGCAGATCTCCTAAAACAAAGAGGAATCATCACATACTTGCTCTTGTAGAAAACGTTTTCATAAGCATCGGCCTGGAGCCTTTCAACAACCCATTTTTCAGCTGAGGAAGCAGGGACTTAGAGCAGGGCTCTGAGTTTTAAAGACCTCCAGTGGTAGACAGAGCAGAGTACTTGACCCAACTGTCTCCGCGGTTTACGGCCCAGGGCTCTCCGCAGCCCACGGGGAAGGCTTCTCTAAAGGCAGGTTTGTCTGGACTCTAGGTGGCGCCAGCGGGAAGGTGGCCTGGGGCTCGAACTGGGCGGGTCCGCCCGCCACGCGCAGACAAAAAAGCCTTACTTGTAAATCCGCAAAAGCGGCCACCGCCCGCGCGAGGCCTTGCCGCAAGGGGCGGTGGGCGGGACAAGCGGTCCAGTTCGCCCCTCCTATTGGCCCCCGGGGCTACGGGCAGTAAACCACAGCCAGCCGCAGCCCGAGGAACAGACGTACACGACTGCCACTTTCTAGTTGATCCCTAGTGCGCGGGGCTCGCGTCCAGAGGCCCCTTGAGTCAGCTGCTACGCATGCGTGAGGCCGAATACCCTACCCTCCCTCTATCTGTAGGGAAAATGATCCCTAGAGCCTTGCTGGGACAAACCTGTCTTCAGCAGGGCCTGAATCCTTAAGCTCTTTCTGCATTTACCAGCTGCTACCCCGACCCCTCCTGCGACTCAGACTCTTCCGGCCAAATTCTCCTTAGGACAGGATTTTTCTGGTGTGCAACACACACACACACACACACACGCACATTAGCTAGCCTAGACTACGAAACCCTGAATCCCTTCTTTCTCAGCCCAGAACGTGCTGCGTGCCCTCCCTCTAAACTCCACTGTGGATCTCTTGGGCCCTAGCTCATCTCCACACACCATATCTTAGCTTGCCTCCTTCAGGAAACCTTTCCTGATTAACCCCGCTGGGACCGCAGCCTTCCCAATTACTCAGGAGAGAGCTCAAGGCCACGCAGACGGCAGGTTCAGGGGCGAAGACGCGCAGAGCGAGCGCCGAGGATCCCCGACCCATCCCTCCCCCTCCGCGAGTAAAGCCAGGCCAGGGCTGGGGACACAGCTGTATTGGGAAGCCGAGGCTCCTACACAGTAGGAGGAGGGACGTCCTGGGAGGCCCGAGGACTCTGTACACTAAGCGGATGGCCCCCGCCCGTCACCCGCCATGCGGCCCGCCCGGGGCCGGTCCATGGAGGAAGCCCGGAGGCGCGAGTTAAGGCAGCTTGGCTCTTAAGGAGGGGGGAGTGGGAGTCGCCAGTCCCCCCTCGAAAAGCTGGCTCACTGAGGGGACGGGCTTCTCACCTCCCACTCCTCTCTCGAGGACAGGGGGAAAGACAGTCAATAAATAAACCCGAGCCGGGGAGGCGCCCCGGAGACTCTCAGAGTCCA